ATTTAATATATTAGTAATAAATATATTAGTATAAACGATTTTACCAACGCTAATTTCAATTAAATAAATTACTATACTAACCGGACGACAGGCCGTTATATTTGCGAAATAGATTTTAATATCTATTTCCTAATAAACTGTAATATCTATATAAACCTCCCTAATATAATAATAAACTACCTTTATATTTACCGAATAATAATCTGCGATATAATAATAATAATCCAATATAATACCCGTTGAATAACGAACTTCTACGACCGGCGGAGAAAAAGGATAGCCCCCTATAGCTATTGGTACAATTGAAAAATAAAATGTAGTTAAAGGATAAATTATAGTAACTATATTAATTATTATTTCTTCCCTATAGGGTAGTATCTATATTTTTAATAGTATTATTATTTTTAATAAAATTGGCAGTTTAAATAGATTTAATATTTAGGAGTTTACTATTAAATTTTATTCTTAATATCCATTTATTAAAATTACTACTATAACCGCCTAAATCGTTAATAATTTTAAATTAATAAACTTTAGTATGATAGTCCAAATAGGTTAACTATTTATTTAAGATTATATTATCGGCCGGTTCTACAATTGAGTCCTTTAAACCGGGGTATAGATAATTGTAAATATGGGCTATATAAGTACTTTTATTTTTTTACCGAATTCTTTAGAATATTAAACAACTTCTATAATTATATTATAGGGTGGTTTATTAGTATAATAATCTTCGTACAAATATTTTAATGTATTGAATTTTACTAGTATTTAGGCGCGGGGTATCTTCCAACGCGTTAGAATCGTAATATATTAACTTTTAAAATTTTATTTTATTATTGTACGAACCTTTACGTCGAATTGATTTATATATTATACTTTTGCTCCGCCTATAAATAATTAGTAGAAATTCTTTTGGAGGGTATCTACTTTGAAATTATTATTAATAGTATTATCTTGGTTACTTTTAATAAATAGGTATAGTAAGGTAATATAAATTTTATTTTTCAATTGGAAGTAGTCGCCCTCTGTATTATTATCTTTTTCTCTAGTATTAGGTTAAAAGTAGCTAATTATTAAAATTTTCCAATTGTTAAATATAATTATTTAGAGAGAGCTAGCAAATTAGTTAATTATAGCTTCGAGTTTTTCGTTATTGATTTTTCCTACGGCTTTAATTATATATATAATATAATAGAGTTCTTTATTACTATTTAATATTTCTAACTCTTCGGTAGCGTCCTTATTATTACTAATACTTTCGGTATAGTTATTATCGGCGGCGGCGGCGTTACTACTGGTATTTACTTATATAGAACTTATATTGCCGGCTTTTTGTTTAATTAGCTACCGTCGGCGTTGGATAGCTATTTAGAGCCTATAGGGTATATAGAGAAGATATTATAATACTTTTTACAATTATCCTTTAGAAGATTAAAAATTAGAGGGTAGTTTAATTACGTATTAATTTTTAGGAAGTAATCTAGTAATATCGGGGGAGAAAGAGGGTTAGGCTAATAAATAAAGTTTTAGGAGTTTCGGTAAGGGTACGAGTATAATGCCGGGAGGACTTTATAGTTTATATTAGAGGGTATAAGGATGGGGGGAGATTAATATTTAGGAGTAGGGTTTTAATAGATTTAAAGGTATTAAATAATAGTCTAATTTTAATTAGCGCTTTTTCTTTCTACTATTTAAACAGCTTTAAAAGTATTATCGATTAGGCGTATTATTATTTATTCTATTATAGTAGAGAAGGAGTTTAGGGGTTCCGCTATTTAAATACTTTCTCAGGTAGTTTTAGGGATATTATTCGATTTTTTAGTAATCGTTTATAGTTAATTGGGGTTGGGTTATGGGGATCTATTAATAAATTTAGGTTGGTTATAATAATAATTGGTATTTCAATTGGTTCGTTCCTTCTGATATTTATTATTATTATATTAGTATCCTTAAATGGTATTGGAGTAATATAGTCGGCGCTTAAACTAGAGTTGGAGGAAATAATAATTATAGTCCTAATTTATATTTACTATAATAAATTTTATATTAATAAGAAAGTTTATTAGAATCTAATATTTACTAAATATTAGGTAGTTTAGTTAATAAGGTTCGTCGTTATATTAAGTAGTACGTTGGGTATAGAAATATCCGATTCGGCCGATACGGAGGCTTTAAAAGTACGAAATTGTAGTATTAAGTTTAATTTATATTAATTAAATTATATTAGTAGTTCGCTTATTATTAGATTAGGCTCTACCTTTACGTTAAATATCTCTATATCGACGTTTTCGATTTCTTCGTTACGTAGCGATATATTTTTAAAGAAATAATAATTATTATTATTAAAATTATTATTATTATTATCTAGTTTCTTAATATACCTACTATTATTATTATTAATAAATAGCCCGATATTTAGTAAAGAAAATAGTTTATTTATTAAATTGAGAAGACTTCGGCCCTTGAAATAGAACGATATAAATAGAATAGGCGTTTTAATATTGTAATTTAATTAAATATCTTCCTTAATATTATTTATAAGTAATTGGTTGAGCGGTTAATAGTTGGATTCTAAATATAGGGGAGGTAATTCTACTAGCGTAATTAATTCTAGGGGCTTAATTTTATTATAAGGGATTTACTACTAGTTAGGTAGTAGATTGTTATTAATAACGGACGTTTAATCGTTTTAAGCGATAGTTAATTTATTATTAGGGTATTTTTAAGTAGCGGTAGGTTTAATATTAATACGATTAGTATCTTTGATAGTAGTTAGATTATTATTAATATTTTGGATTACCGGTTCGCTAATTATAGTTGGACTTTACTAGTTTGGATTAATTTATTAAATAATAGGCGCTCCTATGTTAATATTTAGGGTAGCCGACGTTCCGTTATTAGCGTTTTAATTAGCAGGGCTTTAATTTTTATTTTACTCTAATATTATAGGGAGAGTATAACGGGGGGATAGTAGTCACTGTAATATAGACTAGTGGTCGATATTTGGTGGTTAAAGTCGTATAAATTTAATAATTGCTTCGAAGAATTATTTTAGAATATAATAATCGAGGATTTAATTATTTAAGTAAGAGGATAAGGACGTTTATTATAATCAACGTATTACTTATAATATAAATAAAGAAATAATTAATGCGTTTTTATTAGGGGGTAGTAGAATTATAATAATACGGTTGAACGCTTCGCGTTTTAATTAGTTTAGCCGTCCTACTTATTAAAAGTGTAGGTTTAGATAGATAAAATCTAATATGTAGCGTAGATTTCTAATAGTCGCCGGGTCGGCTAAATCTATTTTAGGTATAGTATTAATAAATAACGACAATTAATTGGTTGGTTGAGGGCTGTTCGGGGACCGGTATACAATTTGGCATACAAGGTGTAATGGCCGGGCGAGGTGCTATTAACAAAGAGATAATTTCCAAAAGAAATCTACTAGTATAGTATAGGATAGGATAATAATAGTTCAATTCAATTGTTTATTAGGTACTATTGTAAGATGAACGGCCCGATCGTTATATAAATAATTTGATAGTATTAATTAATAAACTATTCTACTTCCTACGGTTTATATACTGCCTGGGTTTTATACTCTGGCGGTACAGGCTAATTAGACTTGCCTGCCTGCGGGTTACACCTAGTTACCTAGGTCGTCCCGACTGGGTTGATACTACCCGACAGGGTTATCATCTTACACCTAATTTATTTATAGAATAATTAATAATTTAAACTTTTAATTGGAGTAACAATATAAAAGTTTAGGCATTTTCTCTAATTACGCATAGGGCGGTTTAGTATATAGAATTAAAGTAAATAGTCTAATCTTAGAGTTGCTATAAATCCGGATTTTTAAATATATATATACTCCCCGCTAGAGAGACGGAGGAGGTAGAGATTTATATATATTTCTATAAAGCTACTTTTAGGATAAGTTATATATTTTTAGCTTTAAGGTCCTTGCCCGAAGGCCGGTTTTAATTTCTCCGGGATAGGGCGTTTAGGATTATAATATCCTTATTTAAATAGTAAACGAAATAAAAGTTAAATTATAATAAATATTCCGCCTAGTAGGTTTACTATTTGGATAAACTATAGTATTCTATAAAATATTCAAAATTATAGTAATTAGTAAAGACTATAAAGGCTTTATAATTGTAGAATTCTATTAACTATTCCTCGAAATACGAAATAATTATTAATATTTTCTTATCGTAGATAGGATAATTATACTCGGCTATAGAGAACTTTTACAAATAGAAGGCTATAATATATTGGGTCCCGTTTTCTACTTCTTACGTTAATATTCCTCCGAGGGTATAGCTACTATAATTTACTTTTAAGAAGGTTTTATAATTGGAGTTAAATTCTATAAGGATAGGTACGTATATAAATAAGCGTTTAAAGAATTAGAAAGCCGTATTATACTTTTTAATTTATTCGAATACGACCCCTTTATTTATAAGTTTAGTTAGGGGTATAATTATTTTAGAGAATTATAGTATAAATATACGGTAGTAGTTTATAAAACCGAGGAAATTACGTACGCCTTTTTAGGAGGTAGGAGTAAGCCAATCTAAAATTACTTTAATTTTCTCAAGGTTAACTTATACGCTTACGCCCGTATAAATAATAAAACTAAAATATTTAACCTTCTTTATAGAGAATTCGTATTTGTTAAGGTCGAGGTATAGCCCGTATTCCTTAAATCTCTCTAGAATTATTACGATTTTTTTCTTATAGTCTTCCTTAAATTTAGAGGAATAGATAAATATATTATTTATATACATAAAATAGAAATTATTTAAAAAATCGTATGGGATAGAGTTAATATATTATTAGAATAAGGTTAAGGCTTTAAATAGACCGAAGGGTACTATTTTTTATTCGAATAACTTATAGTAGGTTCTAAACGCTATTTTACTATCCTTTCTTATAATTATATATATTTTGTAGAAAGCCGCTATTACATCGACCTTCGTATACTATCTCGCTCCTTTTAAAACTTTAAAAGTTTTGTGGATTAAAAGGAGAAAGTAGCAGTCTATACGGATAATAGCGTTTAACGTTCTATAATTATAATAGAAATAAAGCCCGCCTCCTAACTTGTATATAAATAGTATTAGAGCTCCAGCCTTTAAATTACTTATGCAAATATATCCTTTATTAAGGAGGTCTTTAAACGTCTTTTTTAATATTAGTAACTCTTCTCTAAATATACTATATAGGAGGCCGAAGGGGAGGGAGAGATCCTATCCGTCCGGACCTTTCTTAAGGGGGATTCTATAATTAACGCTAGGTTTATAATGTTATAGGGCTGGCGCCCGGGTTATAGACTCTGGTCTCTAGAACTAGAGCTATCGTTAGCTATAGTAGCATAGAGCGCGCAGCCCCAATAAAAACCTCTCAGCGCTAGTAGATCTATATCTTAAATAGACTTTTCCTCCTTTATAAAACCTTAATTAAGCTATACAATTAATATCTATATTAATTGTACTATCCCTGTTATATTAGGTTCTATTAACAATAGACCCAATAAATTAGGATATATTACTACTATAGTAGTAAGGGTAGTAATATATTATATTAAATATAAATAGACCTACTACTAATACTAAAATAATCAATATAATTATAGTATTATTCGGTACTTAAAGAACTATCGAAGAAGAAGTATATTAAATAGAAGCCTAACGAATTGAGAGAGAGAACTTTACTAAAAGCCTATTTATAAGCGTAGCGTTTACTAATACTATTAAAGCCGCCGTCAACGCCCCGCTTACTATTTACAAAGTATAGAACAACCCCTAAATATATATTTATATAATTACCTATATAATTACTATTACCTTTAACGTTATAATTGGTATTACTTAAGAAGCCGCTCTTATTACTATTCTTAATATTAAATGTAAAAATATTTAATAATTAAAGTAAGACGGATTTACCTCAACCTTCTCCCTATTCCTTACGCAACTATACTTTATATATAAAAAAGAGAAAGTAATTAGAGTAATTTCTAATAATTAATTAGGATTGTTAATATTATTTAATATATTCCCTAATAATAAAATAATTAAAGTAAAGGCTTTTTAGCATTATAGTTGTATTAATAATTCCTACTAGCCCGTTAATTAATTTAATTATTTAAAATTAGTTTTAGTAGCGAAAACGAAAAATAATTCGTATTAATTCACCTACAAACTATTTACTAATATAAGAATTAGAGTTTTATTAATTTCTTCCCGGTCTTTAAAGAGAATTTAACGAAGGCGGGAGGATTAGTATAAGAAGACGAATCCTGATTCGCCTAATTAAATACCTTTATATTTAATACTCTATATAATTAATTAATCTCAGTCCGTATATTTAAAATTTACAACCAATATATAGAAAATTTAAAAAATATTATTCAGCGGTTTAAAGTGAGTTAAGCCTTCTATAAATTTAGCGGAAATAGTAAAGGGGCTACTAATTACTACTAAAAGTCCTTTTCCTAATAAGAATAAATTATAAACCTACCTTCGAAAAATACCGACGGCGATACGTTTATAATAATAGGCGCTACTAAAATTAAGAGCGAGAATTATAATAGGGATACTAAACGTACTAAATAAATTTCTTAAGAGGAATATAATAAGTAACGTTTAACCGGACTTTATTTATATTATAGGGCTAACGGGTATATAATTAGCAATTATATATATAGACCGGCTTAGTATTTTAATAGTATTAGTATTAAAGCTATTAATATTAAATTTTAAATCGAACTATTATTAGAAGATAAAGAAGATTCTTCCTCTAAGGGGTTGGGAAAAGAATAGCTCTTATATAAAGCCGGGTATAAGAGTAAATAAGAATATTAAATAAGGAGGCGGAAGCTTCGAACTTCCCGGGTCCTATAAAAATAAATATTATTAAGATCCCTATCGCTATTAATAATAAAAATTAATTCTATACCTTCGTTAATAAAGGTTACTAATATTATATTACTATTAGTAAGAGAATTGTTAAAAAATTAAAGATTCTAGTAATTCTAATTCCCCGGAGATAAGTTAGAAGCGCTTTTACCGAAATAAAAGGGGTAAAAATTAAAAGTATTATTTATTTTAAAGTAAATATTTATAGCTATAAATTAATTATTTATATTTATATAATCCTTAAATTAGAATTTCCTATAATATTAGGAAAATTGTAGTTAATTATAATAAAAGCCTACTTAGTTCTATATAAATATAGATTTTAATACGGAGTAGCCGGATATTAAATCCTATATTTAAATTATACGCCCGAAGGGTCTTCTCCTCGTACTATAGAAATTAGAGAAGCTATTTACTATTTAATTACGACCTTTATAGTTATATTAAACCGGATTAAGAAAGAGAATAGTAGAAAAGCTGCGGAAGTAACGATATTTACTATTAACCTACGAAATATAGAGAAGGCTTTTAAGCCTAAGGTTAACTTAATTAATAAAGAATTAAAGAAGAAAATCTCTATTAATATATACAATTTATACTACGTATAGAAGTAGTCGGAAGCCGATAAAGTAAACCTATATTATTCTAGTATTAATTATAAAGTAGAAGTAAAAAAGGATAAGAATAATAAAAAGATACCCCTCCCCTATAGATTATTCTATAGTATATTAAAGAATAAATTCTTTATATTAAAAAAAACGTTTAAAGACCTTTTTAATAAAGGGTTTATCTATATTAGTAATTCTTTAATTATGATACTAGTTCTCTTCGTTTGGAAGTTAGGAGGAGGTTTACGGTTCTACTATAACTATCGGGCTTTAAACGCTATTATAAAAATTGACCGCTATCCCTTACTATTAATTAAAGAGACTTTTTATATTATAGTTAAAGCGAAGTAATTTATTAAAATAAATATAGTATAAGCGTTCTATAAAATTCGTATAATTAAGGGAGAAGAAAGGAAGATGGCCTTTTATATACAATACGGCCTTTTTAAATAATTTATAATACCGTTCGAATTATTAAGAATTCCAATAACCTTCTAATAGTATATGAATAATATTTTCGGTAATTACTTTAATAATTTTACTTTAATTTATATAAATAATGTACTAATCTTTTTATTTAGGTTGAAAAAAGATTATCTAGCGAAAGTCTATAAAGTAGTAGAATAATTAATAATAGTTAAACTTTACTTAAACCTTAAGAATTATAAATTTACTATTAAGAGTATAAAATAATTTAATTTTATAATTATTATAGGCGTAAATATTTAAACGGACCCTAAGAAAATTAAAGTAATTATAAATTAAAAAACTCTAATATTATAGAAAAGGGTAAGGAGCTTCCTAAGTTTTACGAACTATTATTGTATATTTATTAAAAACTTCTCTTTAATAGTAGGACTATTAATTATATTAATAGGAAAGGGGGTCCCTTTCGAATAAATTATTAAATACGATTCTACATTTTTATAATTAAGGAGGCTATTTACTAAAGCCCCTATTCTTACATAGTAGGACCCCAACCTACCTACGTTCTTAAAAGCGGATTATAATAGTTATAAGTTCGGTAACGTTCTTATATAGGAAAGGGATAGTAAGAAGATTATAATAGCGTACTACTCTTAGAAGCTTATATTAATTAAACATAATTACCCTATCTAAAATAAAGAAATATTAGTAATTATTCGGTATTTAGAAGAGTAATTAGCAAAGTTTAGGAATTATAAGAAATTCGTTATTATAACTAATTATCGGAACTTTAAATACTTTATAGAAAGATAGAAACTCTCTAAATATTAAATATATTAAGTTAAACTTCTTTTAAAGTTCAATTTCGAAATTTAGTACCGCCTAGGTAAATTTATTATAGTATTTAATACCCTATTATAGTAAAATTAAAATAAACCTAATAAAGAGGACGTAAAGGTGAAGGAAATATAGTTAATCCTTTAAAAGGTTCTTAGAAATTATATTTATATAGTAGCCTCCTTTATAATTATAGGGGAGGGTATAAAAGTATTTAAGAATTTAGATTTATAATAATTTTATAAAAAGGTAGCCCAATAGGACCTAATCTATTAAAGCGTTCTCCAAACGGTTACTAACGGCGATTAAAGCCTACTAACTATAGCCTAAAGTCTAAAAGTATAATTAGAAGAATATTTAATTAATAATTTAGGGAGGTTATATTATTAAGGCCGCGTCTAAATCCCCGGAGCCCTAACTATTATAAAAATAACCGCCCTCTATATATTTCCTAAAGATTTGGAAAAGAACGTCCTACGTATACGCCTTATTTAAGGGATATACAACTCGATCGCTTTTAATTACCCGGAGAGAAAAGGAATAATATATACTATTAATAGAGATTTTTACTAACTATTAATAAATATTTATATTCGTCGGTTTATAGCAAACTATAATACCTACGGGAGAGTAAAATATTAGAGAAAATAGAAGAGAGGGCTATTCAAACCGCTATTAATTCCGGATTAATTGTTTGAAAATATTTAAATAAATTTTATTATTAACCTCCTACCCTTAAGGGGCTATATAAACCTTTTAATTATTAAAGACCGGCTTAGTAAGGCGGTAATTTTAAAACCTATACTTATAATAAAAGTAAGAACGGTTATTAAAACTTTTCTATAATATTTTATATATTACTATAATTAATTATAGTCTATCGTTAATAATAATAATAATAATAATAATCTTTTACTCTATACTATATAACTATAGTACCTTATTAGCATAGGGTCCTTCTCCAATTCTCTAGAGGGGAAAACTGTATAACGTTAAATACCGCTGGATAAAAACCCCTAGCTTTATTTCAGCTGTAAATCTCTATACTGCTCTTACTTTATTTATAATTATAATAGTTCTTATCTACCGTTATAACGAACCGATTTCGTCTCTTCCTCCGCTATATTATCCTAATACTAAAATAATAAGAATAATAGGAATAGGACCTAAAATGCCGCCTCTCTTTACTACTTTTCTATTTCAATTTTTACTATTCCTTCCTCCGCCTTCCTCCTACTTTCCTATCCTATCTTCCTATTTATTTCCCTACTCTTCCGCTTCCTTACCCTATTTATAATTACCTCCGCCCTATCCTTTTACTTTTTATTCCTCGGCTCTACTTCTATTTATAATAATATAAAAACCTTTTCCTCTATTTATATAATCCTCCTTATAATACCCTTTCCTAATTTCCTTTTTCCTCTTTCTTTATTATATTACTTTTTAAAATAGCTTCCTCCGGTTGTAACCGCCCTAACCCAATTAATCTAACCTCTAACTTAAAAATACTCTTCCGCTAATTTATCCCTAAGCCCTATATTCTTCCCGGTTTATAGCCCTAATTTATTTAGAGTTTATAGTA